CAAGGTCAGAGAGTAAAGAGGACCAGGTTGTGCCAAGCCTGCAGGATACTGAAATGACTGTGATTTTCACTTCATGAACAACAAGTCCCATGGAGGCTTCTGAGCAGAGAAGTGACATTATCCGATGAGGTTTTAGTAGGACTGACCTGGTTGCCTGGTTGCCATGTTGAGAACTAACCGAGGGGATGGGCAAGGTATAGGAAGCATGGAAGTTACGACAATAATCTAAACTAGATATGATGTTTACTTGGAAAACAGTGGTATCAATGAGAGAGACAGAGGAAGAGAGTGGGTTCTGAATATATAATTTGAAATGTGGAGTCCATAGGATTTATTGATGGAAGGAGAGGGGTTAAAAAAGAAAAGAAAAGAATTTCAATCTGTGATTTTGTGTTCAATAATTTTTGTGTCTGCTTTTATTATTATTTAATTGATATTCATTTATTCAACAAAATATTAACTAATTAAATTGTACCTATGTTCTTGGCAGAGTGGAAGGTGCTAAGTCAATTTACCTTGTCTTTAATTTACCAAGCTTCAAAAAAGCCAAATAATGGGTGAAACAAAGCTTACGTGGATTAAACATATTCCCTGTGAGTGGAGTCTTATGTATTAGGAAAGCATTTATTCAATGCAAAAAGTTTTTTAAAAATTGTAAAATATAAAACTTAAATCTTACCCGAATATCTGAAGAATGAGAATTCATAGATCCTTGATTATACAAATAAACCATGAAATTATCTGCTAAAAAAAATCTGAATATAAAAAAGTGACAGAATTTTAAAAGTTATTCTTTTTGAAACTATATAAGGCAGCAGTCAGCAAAATTAACACTCTTAAGCCAAATCTGACATACGTTTGTGTTTGTAAATAACATTTTATTGGAACACAGCCACACCCATTCACTTATGTATGGCTTATGGCAGTTTTCATGCTACAATAGCAGAGCTGAGTCATTCTGACAGAGGCAGTATGGGCCTTCAAAGCCTAAAATATTTATTATCTGGGCCTTTGGAGAAAAAGTTTGTCAATCTCTGACAAAGGTGGTATTTTCTTTTGACATGTATGTAATTTTTATTCAAAGCAATACACATTTACTCAAAATAATTTTCCCATCTTAATATACTCCTTTAAAGAAAATAAGGAGAAGGGACTACAAGTTGAGAGAAAATTTTTAAATTTACAAAGATGTGAAACAGATGTAGGATGAGGAGAGTTTCCTATTCTTTCATTCCTTCTCAGTGTTACTCTCAGGAATATGTACAACTCTAATGAAGTGGAAGAGTGTTCTGTAAAAGTCGTACTAAGCAGAACACAGGTATTGAAGCTACAAGTCTGAGTTCAGCCTTCTCTGGCATCACTCCCTGTGTGTACTACGCTAGTTTAGTTATGCTCACTCTTCAACCCAGTGTAAGGCAACCACCCAGACTAGCCTCTGTCGGGAATCTGCCACTAGAACTCGTGTCACATGGTTACTAATGACCTCCTCGTTGTCATATCCAAGAGCAAGTTTGAGTCAAGTAGACCTACCCTGATGCAGTCCACACTGTTGGCCACACTCCCTTCTTTAAACCATCCATTCTTCAGCTTCCATCATACCATTTACCCCTGTTTCCCACCTATCTTTCTGTCTCCTTTCATAAGCCCCTTCATCTGGATCCTTACTTCTTCACTTACTGTTTCCATCACATTCAATTCTGTGTTGTTTTTCTATCTCATCATTAACATTCGCCCCCGCTTCTACATCTTGTTCATTTCTGGTGCCTTGTTTATACCTATATAAAAAGTTGGCTCTGAAACACACCTCTCTCCCATGACCTAAACTAAATCTAACTGGCTATTTGGGGTCTTTTGTGGTTTCATACAGATTTTAGAATTATTTGTTCTAGTTCTGTGAAAATGGGGTATTTTGACAGGGATTGCACTGAATCTGTAGATTACCTTGCTTAGTAATATGGACATTTTAACAATATTCATTCTTACAATGCATAAGCATGGTATATCTTCCTATTTAGTGTGTTCTCTTACGTTTCTTTTATCAATCTCTTAATAGTTTTCAGAGTACAGGTCTTTCACCTCCCTTCACTGAATTTATTCCCAGATATTTTTTCTTTTGATGCAATTGTAAATGGGATTGATTTCTTTTTCTGATATTTCATTATTAGTATATAGAAATGCAACAGATTTCTGTACATTAATTTTGTATCCTGCAGCTTTACTGAATAAATTCATTAGTTCTAATAGTTTTTTTGGTGGCATCTTTAGGGTTTCTACAGTATCATGCCATCTGCAAATAGTGACAGTTTTAGTTCTTCCCTTTCAATTTGGATAAATTTTATTTCTTTTTAATTGCTATGGTTAGGACTTCCAATACTGTGTTGGATAAAAGTGGTGAGAGTGGGCATCCTTATCTTGTTCCTGATCTTACAGTAAAAGCTTTCAGTGGTGAGTATTACGATAGCTGTGGGTTTGTCATAAATAACCTTTATTATATAAGTGAAGGGGATTAAGAGGTACAACCTATCAATTATAAAATAAACAAGTCATAGAGATACAATGTACAGCACAGGGAATATAGTCAATAATAATGTAATTGTAGGGCTTGTAATCTATAAAAATGTAGAATCCCCATATTGTACACCTGAAACTACTATAACATTGTACGTCAACCATACCTCAATCACTCACTCAAACTGCCAACTGGACATTTTTCCTGGATATCCCACAAGCACTTCACATCCAACTTTTCCAAAAATGAGCCCATATTTCCCGACATAGATCTGTTCTTCTCCTTCACTGCCCCACCAAATCTCTGCTACCACTATGCCTAATCTGTTATCTAATCTTTTTTCTGCCACCTCAGTATGTCTCAAAAAAGAAATGAAAGGAAAAAAGAAAGAACTCTTTTACGGTCATAGTTCTGCTTCTCATTATTTCTTATATAAGTTTTTGGCAATAGCTTCTGGATGTCATTATGCTGATATATTATGCAGCTGGTTTCCAAGAATGGAGTACACACATGCCCTCTCCATCTTCCAAGCTCCAGACCCTCTATTTCTTACCACTGTTGGTAGTCCTGATACAATATTCAAATGCAATATGAGTTCTCGCTTTCCCTCTTCTGTGCTTGAAAAGTTCTTCATATTGTTATTTACTACTCTTTTCCCTTCTGTGTAAAGGAGTAGATTAACTTTTCTGTTACCCAATGCCACTCCTTGGCACCTAACAACATAATGAATTGCTTGTTATAATTCTCTCTTTAAGAAACTTCCTCTCAGTCAAAATACTTGGTTTTTTCTTTCTTAAAAAGCGTTCATATGAAACTCTTTTTTTCTTTTTTCTCTGCTGAACATTTTTTTAAAGCCATTTTCACTTAACACTTTTGGTTTCTCACAATTCACCTCTCCCTAATATGGTGTAATCTAGTTCTACACCCAAAATTTAATTGAACCTGACCTCTTGAAAGTCACAAATTGCTTTTAAGCCAGACTTTCTCAACTGGGTTTCTATTAAAGAATTAAACCCTATAGAAAGTTATTTAAATTATTTTGCTGTTCTCTTAGAGATGGTACATAGCTGGTACTATTTTCCATAAACTATTCACCAGCTCCCACAATACTGTATGATATAATTTCTATATTAAATCCCTTATTTCATATTCCTGGTGGTGAGCCTGCCTCCCTGATCAAACCCTAGCTGATATCATCACTTAAAGACTTACTTCTTTCTTATTGTGACATCCTGCTCTGATTACATAGGTCCAGCTAGTTCTGCTAACTTAAGATCATATAGATTAATCTTCAGGAGGTGAGTCTCTATTTTTCTTGTTCCTAACTTCTCTATTCACAGAAGACTATATGAGGCATCATAGGAGAGCATCTGTTCTCCTGAGACAACTAAAAAATTTTAGTAACAACTATATTAATACTCGAGTTTTTTTTATTTTAAGTAAATAAATTCATATAAAATAAAATTAAATCCAAAACTAAAGAAAAAAAAGATTACCTTTGCTTAAGGTGCACAGTATATGGTTTCTCACCTATTGGAATAATATAGGATACCTGTTCCTAGAGAATCCAGAACAACTGAGAGTGAAGCCAAGTGTAATAGAAGAAGCAAAACAATGATTTTACATAATTTTACACCGATTTATTCCTTCAAATCATGCTTAAAATGTATCAGACTATTTATGATTTAAAATCTGCAACAATATATCAAAAATTATAGTATTTATTTATTATATAATCCATCCTTACTATTTCCACAGAAATAAGCCCAATCTAAGGAGTAATATAGCACTAGAAATCTATATGTAACTGAATTTTAAACTCTTCTGAAAGGAAAGACCATGTGCCATGCTGTAGTGTCTGTTCAGGTAGCATCTTGGGATAATAAGGTACTCTACATCAGTGAACCTTACTCAATTGAGCAAAACAATTATTTACTTTAACCATTTTCTTAGAATATATGGCCTGTTTCCTATACTTCTAAACAGAAGATTACTGAACAAAATTTGGTATTGTTCTTGATTCAATCACTACTATTCTCAAGTTAAAACATGGATGGCAGTAAGTTGCAATATCACTTAGTTGGTGAACCTATGTGATAAGATTTTATCCTGCAAAAGAGAACATGAGAAAACAAGATTTAGAGCATCACTGAAAAGAAAACTTTGCTAAAGCAAAAAAACAAAAAGACATGAATACCAGAATACAGTAGTATCTTAAGAGTTGGGGAACCAACAACCCAAACTGAAATTATAAAGTAAGTCTGGCCAGAGACTGGGGATTGAAAATTATAGCTGAAAATTTCCCAAACCTGAAAAGGAAACATAAATCTGGGTGCAGGAAGCACAGAGGGCCGCAAGCAAGATGAACCCAAAGAGATACACATGAAGACATAATATAATTAAAATGGCAAAAGGTGAGGATAAAAAGAGAATTTAAAAGGCAGCAAGAGAAAGATAGTCATATACAAGGGAACTCCCATAGGCTATCAACTGATTATTCTATGGAAACTTTGCAGGCCAGAAGGGAGTGGCATAATATATTTAAAGTCCTGAAAGGGAAAAACCTGCAAACTAGGATACTATACTGAGCAAAATTATCATTTAGAATTGGAAGAGAAATAAATTCTTAGACAAGCAAAACTAAAAGTGTTCATCAATATCAAACTTGCTGTAAGAGAAATGTTAAAGGTTTCCCTAAGTTGGAAAGAAAAGCTGTAATAAGAACTAAGAATCTACAAGAAAGGAAAAATCCCACTAGGAAAGGCAAATATATAGGATAGGCTGAGGATCAACAACTTAAATAAACTAGTATGAAGATTAAAAGACAAAAATTATAAAATCAAATATAAGTGCACAGTATATGGTTTCAGTAACAGGATAAACATGGAGATGTTAAGTATGTCATCAAAAACACAAAATTTCGGGGAGGGAAATAAACAGTGTAGCTTTTTAAAAACGCATTTGAACTTAAAGGAGTACCTGTTTAAAATAAGCAGATATAGTTATAGGTCACTATATATGAACCCCACGGTAACCACAAATCAGAAACCTACAATAGATACACAAAAACTACAGAGAAAGGAACACAAACATAACAATAAAGAAAATCATCAAACCACGAGGGAAGAAACTAAAAAAGAAATAGAGAGAAAACTACAAAAACAACCAGAAAACAAGTAACAAAATGGCAATAAGTATAACTTATCAATAATTACTTTAAGTGTCAATGGGTTAAATGGTCCAATCAAAAGACACAAGATGGCTAATGGTATTTAAAAAAAAAAAAAAAGACCCATCTATATGCTGCTAACAAGAGAATCACTTCAGAGCTAAACACATATGCAGACTGAAAGTGAAAGGATGGGAAAAGATATTTCATGCAAATAGAGAGACAAGAAAGTGGGGTAGCAATACTCACATCAAATAAAATAGACTTTAAAACAAAGTCTATAACGAAAGACAAAGAAGGGCATTATATATTGATAAAAGGATCAATAAAAGGATATTATATATAACATATATTACATCATTAATATATATGCAGTTAATATTGGAGCACCTGTATGAGGGGCATATGTTTTTATATAAACTGTATATATTCTATACTTATATAAATATATAAAACAAATAATAACATACATAAAAGGAGGAAGTTAGAATAATACAATAATAGTAAGGCACTTAAAAAATCCCACTTACATCAATGGACAAAGTCATCCAGACAGAAAATGAACAAGAAAACAGTGGTCTCCAATGACAAAATAACCAGTTGTACTTAATAGATATCTACAGGACATTCTATTCAAAGTCATCAGAATACACACTCTTTTCAAGCACACAATGATAATTCTCCAGGATAGATCACACGCTAGTCCATAAAACAGGTTTCAACAATTTAAGGATAAAAATTATATCAAGCTTTTCTTTCCAACCACAACATTATAAAACTAGAAATCAATTACAGGAAGAAAAATGGAAAAAGCACAAACATATGGAGAATAAACAACATGCGACTTAAAAAACAATGGGTCAGTGAAGAAACTGAAGAGAAATCAGAAAATAACTCAATACAAATAAAAATAAAACCACAACTTTCTGAAATCAGTTCTAAGAATCAGGATGCAGCAAAATCAGCTCTAAGAAGTAAGTTTATAGCAATACAGGCCTACCTCAAAAAATAAGAAAAACATCATCTAAAGGAATCAGAAAAAGAAAAACAAAGACCAAAATCAGCAGATGGAAGGAAATAATAAAGATCAGAGAGGAAATAATAGAGATTAAAAAATAAAAAAGATCAATGAAACCAAGAGCTGATTTTTTTGTAAAGATAAATAAAACTGATGAATGTTTCACCAGGCTTATGAAAAAACAAAAGAGGAGACCCAGATAGACAAAATCAGAAATGAAAGAGGAGAAGTCACAACCAATATTATAGAGATACAAAAAAACTCATAATATAATACTATGAACAGGTATAGGCCAACAAACTGGACAACCTAGAAAACAAATTCCTAGAAACATACAACCTTCCAAGACTGAATCAGAAAAAAATAGACAAGCTGAACAGACAGACCACTATTAGTGAAACTGAATTTGTAATTTAAAAAAAACTCCTAGCAAACAAAAGTCCAGGAGTAGACAGCTTCACAGGGGAATTCTACCAAACATATAAAGAAGACCTAATACCTATCCTTCTCAAACTATTTCCAAACACTGAAGAGAATGGAACACCCAAATTAAATATGTAAGGCCATCATCACTCTGATATCAAAACTAGACAAAGACACTACAAAAAAAATTACAGCCCAACATCTCTAGTGGATATGGATGTAAAAGTCCTCAGCAAAATATTAACAGACCAAATACAACAACATATAGAAAAGATCAAACACCATAAGTGGGATTTAGTCTAGGAATGCAAGGATGGTTCAATATTTTCAAATCAATTTGATACACCACATTAAGAAAAAGAAGCAGAAAAATCACATATCATCTCAATTAATGCAGAAAATCCATTTAATAAAATTCAACATCCATCAATGATACAAACTAAGAAAAGGTAATATAGAAGGAACATATCTTAACATAATAAAGGCCATTTATAACAAACCCACAGCTAACATCATGCTCAAAGTTGAAAAGCAGAACACTTTTCCTCTAAAATCAGGAATAGGACAAGGATGTCCACTCTCACATAGCAAAAAAAACAAAAAAAACAAAACAAAAACCCAAACAACCTCCTTAAAAAATCATCAGAAGACCTGAACAGACATTTTCCAAAACAGATTAACAGATGGCCAACAGGTACATGAAAAAATACTCAGTATCACTAATCATGAGGAAAATGTAAGTCAAAACCACCAGATACCATTGTTATACATTCAATATTATATACATTTGTTTTATTTTTTAGATTCCACATGTAAGTGATAACATAAGATTATTTGTCTTTACTTGACTGACTTATTTCACTAAGCATAATAATCTCTAAGTCCAACTACTCTGTTACAAATGACAGAATTTCATTCTTTTTATGGCTAAGTAATATTCCATCGTATATAGTCATATCTGTGTGTGTGTATATATCTTTATCATTCATCTATTGATGGGACACTCAGGTTGCCTCCATGTCTTGGCTATTGTAAATAATGCTGCTAAGAACATTGGAGTGCATGAAACTTTTCAAATTAGTGTTCTGTGGATTTTTTGGATATATACACAGAAGCAGAATTGCTTGATCACATGGTAGTTCTATTTTTAGTTTTCTGAGGAACTTCCAACTGTTTTCCATGGTGGCTATACCACATATACAAACAAAAACAGACTCATAGGCATAGAGAACAAGTTAGTGGTCACCAGCAGGGAGAGGGAAGGGGGAAGGGGCAAGATAGGAAAGAGGAAGGGATTAAAACGTACAAACTAGTATGTATAAAATAAACAAGATTATACTCTACAACACAGGGCTACATGGCCATTATTTTGTAATAACTTTAAATGGAGTATAATCTATTATAATAAATTGAATCACTACATCGTACACCTGAAACTATTATAAATCAACTATATTGCAAATTAAAATAAATGAATAAGTCAGGGGATGTAATGTACACATAGGAAATTATAGTCAATAATAGTATAAGAAACAAAAATGAAATATCACCTCATACTTGTCAGAATGGCTCTCATCAAAAAGTCTACAAATAACAAATATTGGCAAGGATGTGGAGAAACAGAAAACAGATCAGCAGTTACCAAGGGCTGAGCATGGAAACAGAGAAGAACTGCAAATAGGCATGCAGGAACTTTTTAAAACAATAGAAATACTCTAAAACTAGATTGTGGTAATGTTTACATAATTCTGTTTATGTACTAATAATCATTGTACACTTATAATGGGTGAATTCTGTAGTGTATAAATTATATCTCATTAAAACTGTTAAAATGAAGCGTTATCAAAAGATTGGCCACTTATAAGCAAGGCTTGCTTTTTGTATTTCTTTTTTTCCTCCTGAAGTACTTCGCATGTAGTTATGCACACAAGTCCAGAGAAATATCTGGTAAATAAATAAATGAATAAAGTATCTCCCTTTCTAACAAAAATAACAGAATAAAGCATTCATACTCTCTGAGAACTGGTAGGTGCAAGGGTAAAGATTAAGGAACAAGGTTTTAGTTAAAAGATGTTCTCCTTAACCATTTTGGAGAAAACTATTTTCTTCACATGAATTACCTAGACACCATTCAGAAAAGACCCTAATTCTTTTATATTATATTCTGTATTTGAATTTTAAGGATAGTTTTATCATGAGGAAACAACAAATGTTAAACAGAACATTCTGATTTATATATTTGCTTTTACCATCAAAACTTTTAATTCCTTAACAGTAGTAATATTGGTTACTTATATTCATACTACAATGGAATTGATGTGTTTCATTGCTTTATAATAAAAATAAGAAATTTCATATAACAATATTGACCATAAAAAATCTCTCACATTTTCTGAATTATCACTTGTATTTGCTTGGATTTTCTCTGGATATATGATTTGTAGAAATGAATTTTGAAAACCTAAAAAAGAAAATAAACAGTTAATAACTGTTTTTTAAACCTGACTAAATATGCGTTCAGTTTCTTTCATAAAATGCACTTATGCAAATGAGTCATTACTGTGTATTCCTATAAAATCTTGAAAACTTTTAAAGACAGACAAGATAGTTATGAAATACCAAAAGTAGTACAGAGAAAGATATTCAACTTATACAAAATCTGCTGTTCCTGAAGAAAACAGAACAAATGGATTAAAAAATAATCAAATATATTCTTCAAGAAAACTTTCCTGAAATAAAAAATTTTAAACAATAGATTGGAAAATACACTGAATTTCAGGAATAAGTGATAATAATTAATTAAAACTGAGACATAATCTACTAAAGTTATCTGAATTCTAAGATAAAGAATTTTATGGGTATATGAGCAAAAAGAAAAAAAAGAAAATCATAAGGAGAGAAAAGCAGATTGGGTTGAGATTTTTTTGAAATAGTATACAATGTTAAAAAACTGAAGAACTATGTCTAAAAAAAAAATCTTCAGTAAAAGTGTGAATCCAGGAATTGTATACCCCAAGAAACTGTCATTCAAATACAGAGACAAAAGACACCTATTTACAAGCAAATGTTCAAGCAAAATAGTTCATATGTGCCTGTCACAAAAGGCAAACTTCTGCCAGTAAAGCTATCAATTGAATTAAGGTAAAAGGCTTAGTAATTAGCTTTAAATAAACCTAAATACAGAACAGAAGCCAAAACAATGGTTGGAATCATGGTTATTTAACAGGATGCAAGTGAAATATGATAAATATTGACAAATATAAACAAAACAAAAACTCTTTCAGAATTTCAATAATTGTTAGATTTTTGTTAATTTCTTCGTGTAAGGAAATACTCCAAAAAGTTTTGAGAACCACTGCATTTAAATATTGTAGGTGTTATGATGAAGATATATCCCCCCAGAAAATTTCGTGTTGAAGCTCTAATCTCTAAAATTGTATTTAGAAGTGGGACCTTTGGCAGGTAATGAAGTTGTGAAGGTGGGTCTTTCATGATGGGATTAGCACCTTTATAAGAGACAACAGTGAGTTTGCTGTCTCTGCCCACAAAGAGGTCATGTGAGTACACAGCAAGAAGGGAACGGTCTGTAAGCCAGGAAAAGAGACTTCACCAGATCCCCATTTGGTACAGCACCCTGATCTCAGACTTCCACCTCCAGAACTAAGAGAAAATAAATTTCTGTTGTTTAAGCCACCCAGTCTGGGGTATTCTGTTACCAGGGCAGTCTGAGCTCAGCAGCAAAGAATGTAATAGCAAAATGACTGGAAACAATCCAACGGTCCATTAATATGAAAACTGGCTAATAAATCGTGATGACAACCACAGAACACTATGCAGATGGAGGAGGAAAACAAAAAACAAAAAAAATTCCACATACTGGATACGGAATGGCAAGACTCTAAACAGTGTATAAAAAGGAAGGAAATGAGAACATTTAATCTTAAATTTTTACTTACATCTAAATCTCCCCTAATACCCTTTAAATGTTTGAGGACTCTTTATATCTGTTCCTCCTATTCTGTCATAATGCACCTTCATCAGTGTCGGCACAGCAGACACTGAATATATATATTCTTTTGTATGGCAGGGCACATTATTACTGCATGCAGGGCAAGTTATTATCTTGGAACAAATGATATCTGAGTAAAGTCCATTTGGGGGAGTCTGAGTGGAGTTCATGAAATTTCTGGGGGTACTTTTGAGTGCAATAAATTCTGAGGTATTTTTGTGAAGCGCATGACAGACCTACAAAAAAGGCTGTTTCAAACCCAGATTCAGAGTCTGAGATCTGCCTTCGAGCTTATTGAAATTATCCTCCTCTCTCGAGTCACCAGCGGCCTGGGGTCCAGAAGTGACCGGGCAAAAGGAACCAAAGAGCAGGGAAAGGCCCCGGGTTTTTCATTCCAGTTGGGACGCAGTTTGACCAAAAGTAGTTACACGTTGAAAGAAGGATAAGAAAACTCTTCCTCTGCCCCATACGGGGGTAACAGGGCCTCCACGACAGGCTTACCAGGTCTTGACGTTAGCAAGCCGCGGAGCCCCGCCAGCAGCATCATTAGGCGGAACATGGTGTGTGGCTTCTCAGCTTCGAGCGGCGACAAAGCCCAGCGGCCGTTGGCCGTTGGTGGGCGGAGTTCTCGCGAGACCACTGCGACCGCGGGAGCGCCCGAGACTCAGCGTCCTACGCACCAGTCGCCGGCCGTGCGCTCCCAGCTGCGGGTTGGTCCGTCTGGGTCTAAGTGGCGCTCTTTTCTCTGCAGCCCGCCCAGCCTGATGGTCCGCAGTTCATCCGGAGTTACCCGACCACCCTAGCCCTCTCTGTCGCGATCGTCGTCCTTCACAGACCTTTCGCTTCTTATGGATGGAGCTAGAACACATTTATTGTGCTGTGTTTTGTATCAGACGCTTCTAGGTGTTTTAAAAGACCTACTTTCTGAATTTAAAACTCCGCACGCGCGTGCGCGCACACACACACACGAATTACACATTCATATTTACTAAAGCTGGTGGTTTTAATTTTTAAAAAAGCCAGATACATAAAAATGATTCCAAGAAAGGGGAAAGTGAGATTTTGATACCTTCGGAAAGTACCGTCTACGGTTTTTCCCACACCCACTGCCCAAATACACCTTGTAACCAGGCTGTCTACTTCTTCCTCCAGTCGTTGTGGTTCTCCCCAGACTTTCAGCAAAAATCCATGTGATGGTTTTCTCTTGTTCAGTAACTTCTTGGTACAATGCATATTCATTCATTCACGTAGTGAATGAGATGGATAAGATTCTTGCCCATGATTACGGCACATACGTTCCAGTAGAAAATTCTAGCCACATGCCTCAACACAGTATTCAAAATTTTCTAAATTCAGAACCCAGGCTGCTGCCTCTTTTCTCCTATTCCCTAGTGCAAAGACCACTGACTTCTGGTCTTCCCTGAATTAACATCGTCTACTCCCTCGGACTGCAATGCCTCCTCCCTCCTATCCTTACCTTCCGGTCTCCACCTATATGCACTTTCTTTCTTTTCAAATCCCAAAGAAGGAATTAATCTCTCATACCAATTAACAGAACGACAGGCACAAGCTAGAAGTTCCCGTGGTAACGCAGAAAAGCTCACTTGGGGAAGCAACACATCTGAACTGACCATTGAGATGTGATTTCATGGCTGCATAGGATTTTGACAGGGTAATCTAAGCCTGAAAAAGCGTATCAGAAACACGGAAACAAAAATACAGTTAGCCCCTCGGTATCCAAGGGGAGATGGGTTCCAGGATCCATGGTGGATACACAAATCCCCAGAAACCGAGGTTCCAGCATTGGCCCTCCAGCTCCGCATCCGCAGATCCAACCAACCACAGATTTGTTTGCCTTCTGCTGTTAGCTGAATCCCCGGATGTGAACCTACAGATAGGGAGTGCCACCATATTTATTGGGGCGGGGGGAATCAATTTACAAGTGCATTTGCACAGTTCAAACCCACGTGGTTCAAGGGTCAGCTGTATACACCTAGCTTGTGTATCAACAGGAACAGACAATGCTAGATTAACACTTCTTTTAATGGATAGTTGAGCCAAAAGCCTGTTTCGTCTTGCTTCACAGCATTGGAACCATTACTGCAAATGCTTAGACTTCTCAATTAGTGTTAAGTATTTTTAATGAACTTCTAGTTACTGTATTTCTTTCTTATTTCCTTCTTTTGAAACTTTCCTGTTTAAATCTTTAAAAGAGCAGACTTTACATTGTTCTTGCGTATATGGCTCTATAAACGGAGGCATGTCCCATCCAGAACTTATCTATCACAGTACCTAACGTGGTACCTGCAAGATGATAGTCTCAGTAAACATTTATAGAATTTAATAAAATCTGACTTGTGCTTAGAAAACCTGGATTGTGCTTAACCATATGGTTAGAGACCCAGGCATCTTCTTGATAGAAAGGGAAAATGCAGTAACTTGAACAGTTCAATTTGTCAACATAGTCATACACTGATTGTCAAAGTTACAATTTATCTTTGATTACTAAAATATCTTTAGCAGATGGCAAGGAAGCCCTTTAATATTTTTCAAATTTTGTAGTGGCATCTATGCCCAAGAAAGTTCATAATTTTTAATAACAATCCAAGATAAGTCAAAGATATACCTAAGTGAAAAGCATATAAAATATGTAAAAATATGTATAAAAGCAAAAGAAGGTTAGATTGATCAAGTGGTCTTTTAGAAAAACTTTCTAAATATTCAAAGATCCAAGGAATTATCTGAGAAAAGTTTTAAGTGCAGTTAATATAATAACAACTGTAAAATTTCAGTGATATGAATTATAATTGCAAAAACTGGGTCTGTATCAGTGAAAAAAACATTTTTAATCATAAATTAATTCATTCAGAGATTTAAATTGAAATGAAGAATCTTAATTTGGGATTGTTTACAATTTTTAATATATACCTGATGGTTAAAATAATGTACCATCTTCAGAGGACTGAGATGTGTCTTTTTCAAAACTAATCTGTTTTCCTTTAGTAACAAAAAGCCATTGTTCATAATTTGGCAGAAGTCTGGAAACTCAATGAGATGGTTTCTATAAATATTTAACTTGTAGTTTTATCTAAAACTAGTATAATGTTTTAATTAATAAGGTTATAAATAGCTGAGTATTTAAGAGGTTACTGGGTGACACAAATTAGAATTTTAAGTATTTTATTTATTGTAAATCTTATATTTGTATATGTATTTATACACAAACCAAAATTTTTTTTGAAAAACTAATGAAATTCAGTTAATAAACTTATTAATAAACTTTATTATGAAAGGTTATGAAAAAATTTTAAGTGCTTAAATTTTTATCGTGCATATCATTTCTTCCATGGTAAAAATTCATTTTTTAATCACAGCTGGGACAATAACTCACAGACACCACACTAACTTTTTCGCACTTATCTAAGAAAACCTTTTCGTCCTTCTTTTCTCCACTCTAATTCCTTTAAAAATATTACTGTCAAGTGAGACATTATCAAGCACATCTTAGTAAATGTAAACATTCTAAATTGTATTAATAACAGGTTTTGAAGTTTCAGATTTTGGACTTAAAGTGCATATGAAATTCTCAAGTGGTTCTATGATAGTTCAATTGATGGAAGATATTATAATTGCTCCTGCTTTTAATTATAGCCATGAATCAACAGCATATCTGATTAGTTCTATTAAATACTTCGTACCTTAAAGTTTATAATTTATTTAAAATAATGCTATTGTAAAAGGATGCTATGCTTTAACACGATCCATAATAGAAATTCTATTATTAAATTAACTTTCCTAATATTCATGATCCATAGATAGACCCACAGAATCTATTACCCATAGAATCCATAGAATCATTTATCCATAGAATGTTCATAAAAGTGGAAGATAATAACACACACATTTTTAGTGTGTTCTGCACTTTTAAAAAAATATTATGATATCTTAATTGTGGGTTCTGTGCATTCTTCTGAAAACAGAATATTCCTTTATTCATGTAATGAATAAGACAGACAAGCTTTCTAGCACAGGATGGTTAGTCCATGCGAGATGAGAAATATTAGATATTATCGGCAGCTAATTCGTTGGTTTTCATAGGTATTAGATTATTACACATTCAACCAGAAACTACATTAATGATAACTAAGGTCAAAATTCAAAATTACATTTAAGCACACAGTGACAAAACTTAAACCAATATAGTTAATTTGAAATTCATTACAATGACATGTTCAAATAACATAATCCATGTCAGGTGCATTAACCTCACAGATGACTGAATATAGCGTATTCAGTAATGGAAATGAAAATGTTATTCTAAATTCCCTGGCTTCACTGCGTTTCTTCTATTTCTCATTTCCCACGACTCAAGTTCTGTTTTTCTGTATTAATAAAGTTTGTTTTGTGGTATTTTGTCTTCATTCATAATTGCAGCAGGAAGAAAGGCTTTTCAAGAAAATATCAGGAAAAAAAAATATTAGCTCAGTTCCCTGAAGATATCTGCAAAATGAAAGGTAACAACAACAACAAAAAAAAAATCAAGTGAGGGAACTATATAAAGGAGGTGGAGGAGCAGGACGAGCAGGAATTATATTTCCCTGAGTTGTTACTTTGGTTGTGGTGGAGGTGGCCTGTGAAGGGGAAAAAAAACAGTTAATCGTATGTTTCGACTGAATGAAACAATGCTACATTCATTACAAGCCCAACATTAACACCATCCTTAAAGCACTGACAATTCTTAAGGGTATATTATATCCTGAGATTATTATTTTTTTAATTACAATTTTTCCTTTTTATTTTACTTTTTTTGGAGGGGTAGGAGGTAATTAGCTTTATTTATTTATTTGTTTAGCTTTTTTTTTTTTCAATAGAGGTACTGGGGATTGAACCCAGGACCTTGTGCATACTAAACTATTCTGAGATTACTATGAATCTGATATATAATGGTCAAAGGTCTCCCATCAGAGTCTAAAATGGAGTAACTACCTTAATGTAATGCTGATTTATAATCAATGATGTATATAGGATCTGCTTTACATGATTTTGAAAAGGAGAGTCCATGAAATTGAGAAGAAAAATAATAAAAGACAAGTGAAGACACCATGTGGATTAAGTACCTCTTATGCTATAAGGATTTAAGGGCAGCAAATTACTACAAAGTGTAAACCTTGCATATATACATAGAGCTGATGATTCCAGCTCTCTCAAATATAATTTCTACCCGGAGAATTAAACCTCCTATGACATCTATACCCACTCTTTTCAATCTTTACACTTTAACATGTGGATACCATCTTCCTTAACCTCTTCATCCAATTCTAGTATATCTCTACTCCAATAACCTACTAGAACTTAACCTGGTGAATATCGATCTCACAGTTTATATACTCTTTGGATGCTCTGTTGGATTTCAATGCACTCTTATCTCACATTAAGACTATACCTGAGGACACTACTCAGTGTTGCAATTCAATTGTAACTTGGAGGATTTTTGGGGGGCGGGAAGGGTGAGATGTATTTTATGTGATACAAAATGTAGTAAGTTTTCTCCTGTCCTGGTGATGTTAAGCCCATCCATGGAGTCTTTAATTTCAGTCCTTGTGTTTTTCAGTTCCAGAATTTCCATCTGATTCCTTCTTTAGGGTTTTAAGTTCAGCACACCTAGTTCTATCCTGAAATTCTTAATCTTAACTATGAATTCCATGACATAATCATTACAGTGACTTTAAAGCCCGTGCCTGATAACTATTAACTGGATACCCTCTGAGACTGCTTTTCTTGGGTTTAGTCACATTTTCTTTTCTTACATATCTGGCTTTTTAAACCAGGGGCAAAACAAATCAAATGTAAGCAAAGTCACAAAAAGACAAATACTATATGATTCCCCTTAGGTGAGGTTCCTAGAGTCATCAAAATCATAGAGACAGACAATGGGACGGTGGTTGCCAGGGGCTGGAGAAGGGAGAATTGGGAATTGGTGATTAAAAAAAAAAAAAAAACTGTAAGAAGTAAGTTGAGGCTCTGGTTCACCCTTACTCATGGGGTTCTAACACAAAGCCTGGGATATTCGCCAGGGTACCACCTCCTTGGCAGGGCTCCTCAGCTTCCTAACCTCTCATGCTCAGAACAGGCAGATACAATTGAGGATAGAAAAATGGTCCCAAAAACTGAGATCATCTCTGGACTGTCTTCCTCTCCTGAACCATAGCCCCATAATCCCTCATCTCTTTGGTAGTTTTCTGACGCCTTCACACACATATTTTCTTACATTGTCTAGCTTTTCTGGCTGTTCCTAACAGAAAGGCTGGACCAGCCTGTCTGATTTCCCATTGCTGGCTATTTTAAAGGTCCTTGCTCTGAATCTTACAGACACCAAAGGCTACAACAGCTGTTGATTGCTTGTTTGGGCCTCTTTAAAATTTCATGTTGACACTGCATTAACATGACAAAACCTAGATAAAAGTTCTTACAAGCTTTTCTGCAAGTTGTGCTCTATCTAAACTACTGGCAATAAACACCTGGTCCTAAATTAAATTAAAATACAGGGGAGCTATTTAGACATTAACCCTGGGTTCTATTCTGGTCAAATAATCTAAACAAATTCACTTCAGACCTTGATGGGAATGGCTGAGGCTGCTTGGCTGCATAAGTTGGTACTGGAAATCTGTTTGCAGATACAGGCTAAAAAGGAAAAAAAAAAAAAAGTTACTACAATGCATTCATAAATACATTTTCTGTAAGTTTATTTTCCATATAAAAGTAATTCCTATTTTTTTAAAAAACCAATGAATGGACAACTTATAATGCTGACATTTTAAAATATTTTGCTTAGTCAATGTATCTTTGGCACTGAATGCAGAATACTTAATTCTTTTAAGACTATATTTTTTCAATTCAGTAATAATGAATAATAATCTTGGCCCTGATCAACTACATTATTAAAAGGAAACACATTTCCCATGTCCAGATATTTTATTTAATAAAATTTTCCAAAAATGTATTGCCAATCTTATACAGTACTTAACTGGTACTATAAATACCACTAATTTACAACCCTTGACTTAAGAATTCATGTTTTTCCTTGTCAAGGCAGTTGAAATAAAATTTTACAATAAAGTGAGACTCTGTTAACAACCACAAGTAAGAAAGTCAAAGTAAATATTTTCCAAATACTACATTACTTGAGGAAAAGTTAGGGACGATCAGATGGAATTAATAATCACTGCTGACGTGATCTGGACCACAATGTTCTCCACTATATACTGTTATTTCCTCAAGCTCTCTGAGTGGCAGAATACGCAGAGTCAGAAAACATTCTCTGGGTCCTGCTATGGAAAAGGTGCTCGAGCACCTGCTGTTTTTTCACCCCACAGAGTGATTTACTTGTTCTGTGAAAATGGAGAAAGGATGCAAAAAAACAAAACAAAGCAAAACAAAATATCCCTTGCCACCAAGCCATAGGAACAGCACTTTAAAGGGATAAACTCCACTTCCTGAAATTTAAATGACATATACTTTTACATATATGGAAAGACCTATGTACAAGGAAGCCTGATGCTGCATTTTCTGTGGTAACAAGATTTGAAATAACCTGTTTTTAAATTTATGGTCAATCTATAAGATGGAGTGGTACGCAGTTATGGAAAACAATGGGGTACATACTCATTACTCACAAACAGCAGACTAAAATGTTCCAAGCAGAGAGAATCTAAAGTTAAAACAAGTTCATACTGTACAGCACAGGGAACTATATTCAATATCTTGTAGTAACTTATGGTGAAAAAGAATATGAAAATGAATGTATGTATGTTCATGTATGACTGAAATATTACACTGTACACCAGAAATAGACACAACATTGTGAACTGACTATACTTCAATAAAAATATAAACAAAAAATTTTAAAAATTAAAAATAAAGAAAGAAAAATAAAATAAAATGCTTGTTAAAATATTAAATAGAAATTTTTAAATCCTTGGATGAGTTACGAGGCGGTAAGAAAGATATTCAAGACCAAAAACAGTAAGAAAGCACAGAAGAGTCCAAGTCGCAGCATTTGTCCTGTGAATATCTTCCCATCCTTGGTGGGCTACATTACGCATTTTCAGGTAACACAGACCTAGAAGACAATACCTGGGGCCTGAGTTGGGTGGAATGCTGAATATAAGACCTTATATAAAGCCTAGACCCTGAAGAGCAATATTCTCCCTGGGCTGATTACATAAACACCTGTCTCAAAGAACAGTGGGGACACTGCTAAGTAGGCCTTGGTACTGATCTATACAATAACTATATGATATAACAACTGCACTCTTAGGTATAGACCCAAAAAATTGAAAATAGGTACTCAAAACAAGTATAGGTTCATGGCAACATTATACACATTAGGCAAAAGATGGAAACAACCCAAATGTTCATCAACAGATGAATGAACAAACAAGATGTTATATATACATACAAAAGAAGTTCTCATACATGCTACTACAAGGGATGAACCTTGAAGACACTGTGCTATAGGAAATAAGTCAGACACAAAAGAACAAATATTGTATAATTCCACTTGTATGAGGTACCCAGAATAGGCAAATTCATAGAGATAGAAAATAGAAAAAGACCCCACTAGCCAAAGCAATCTTGAGAAAAAAGAACAAAATAGAAAGCATCACACTTTCTGATTTCAAACTATATGTAAGGCTATAGTAATCAAAACAGTATGGTTCTGGCATAAAAACAGACACATAGACTAGAGAGCCCAGAAATAAACCCATGCGTATATGGTTAATCCATTTACGACAAAGCCAATAACACACAATGGGGAAAGGACAGTCTCTTCAATAAATGGTGGTGGGAAAACTGGACAGCCACATGCAAGAGAATGAAACTGAACCACTATCTTACACCACACACAAAGAGTAACTCAAAATGCATTAAGATGATTTTCTGAATGGGACACCAAAAGCAAAGATAAAAAAAGCAACCATAAACAAGTGGCAGGACATCAAACTAAAAAGCTTCTGCACAGCAAAGGGAACCATCAGCAAAATGGAAAGGCAACCTACTGAATGGGAGAAAATACCTGCAACGCATATGTTCCATAAGGGGTTAATGTCCGAAATCGATGAAGAACTCATAAACGTCAATAATAACAACAAAAACAGCCAAAAAATGGATAGAAAATCTGAATAGACATTTTCCCAAATGGCCAACAGGTCATGAAAAGGTGCTCAACATTACTAATCACCAAGGAATTGTCATCAAAACATAATGCAATTTCACCTCACACCTGTCAGAATGGCTATTATCTGAAAAGACAAGAAATAACAAGTGTTGGAGAGGATGTGGAGTAAAGGGAACCTTTGTGCACTGTTGGAGGAATGTAAATTGGTGCAGCCACTATGAAAAACAGTATGGCGGTTCCTCAAAAAAGTAAAAGTAGAATATGATCTGGGAATTCTACTTCTGGGTATTTATCCAAATTAAAAACACTAACTTGTAAAAACATCTGCACCCCCGGGTTCACTGCAGCATTATTTATAATACCCAATACATGGAAGCAGCCTAAGTGTCCATCTGTGGCATATGTATATATAAGAATATAATTCAACCACTGAAAAAAAAGGAAACCTTGTCATTTGCAACAATACAGATGGACTTGAGGACATGAAGCTAAGTGAAAGAAGTAAGACAGAGAAAGACAAATACTATAGGATCTCACATGTGGAACCTCAAAACAAACAAACAAACAAACAAGTACCAGACTCAGAGAACAGACTGGAGATTGCTAGAGGCAGGAGAGGGAATGGGTGAAAACAGGTGAAGGTGGTCGAAAGGTACTAATTCCCAGTTATAAAAGAAATAAGTCACAGGGATGTAATGTACAGCATGGGGCTATACTTAGTAATACTGCATTGCATATTTGAAAGATGCTAAGAGAGTAAATCTTAAAAGTTCTTGTCAGAAGAAAAAAATTTGTAACTACGTGTAATGATGACTGTTAACTAGACTTACCGTAGTGCTCATTTCATACTATATGTAAATATTGAATCATGTTATATACTTGAAACTTACATAACGTTATATCTCAATTGTATTTTAATTTTTTGAAAAAGTAGAACAGTGGTTTCTTGGTAGGGGAGAATAAGGAGTTATTGTTTCATGGGTACAGAGTTTCTGTTTAAGGTAACGAAAAAGTTTTAGAAATAGATAGCAGTGATGATTGCACAACATTGTGAATGTAATTAATGCCACTGAACTGTAAATTTTAAAGTGGTCAGGATGGCAACTTTTAGGGCATATACTTTTTACCACAATAAAAAAAAGAAAAAATATGTCAAAGACAAAAAAGAACATATACGCAATTTCCCACTTGTATGTGTACGGACTGTGTGATCATTCTGTACATGTAGTGATGTGGAAACATCTCCAAGATATATGGTTAAGGGGGAAAAGGGCATAACAATTTTTGTTTCTTTTTTTATAAAGGAAAAAAGGAGAACAGGGAGATTCCATATGTATCCTTCCATATTAGAAGGATATTTAATCACTGTACTTCCACATAATTGGGAAGACTTTAAACGTCTGACAATAGCATGTGTTGGCAAAGATGTAGTTTGACAGGAATGCTCATACATCACTAATAACACCATCACCCAATGGTGTGACCTTTTTGGAAAACAATTTAGCATTTTCTAACAAATATTAACATATCTTTCAACCCAGCAATTAAATTCCTTACATGACTCTAAATCAGAGCTCTCTAACAGAATTTTCTGCAATGATGGAAACATTCTATGTCTGTGGTGTCCGATACCATAGTTAGCGGCCACGTGTGATTTACTGAGCATTTAAAATGTCAGTGAGGAGAGGGGATGGTATAGGTCAGCAGTAAAGTGCCTGCTTAGCATGCATGAGGTCCTGGGTTCAATCCCCAGTACCTCCAGTAAAAAATAAATAAATAAACCTAAAATTAAACCTATTTACCTCCCCTCTAAAAATTAAAAATTTGAATTAAAAAAACATCAATAAGGAATGGAATTCTTAATTTTATTTAATATAAAATAAAATTTAAACAGCCACATATGGAGAGTTACTACTGTCCTCGTGTGTAGTCCTAGAACTCACACAAGTGCATTTAGAAACATATAGAATGTTCATCTCAGCTTTGTTCATAGTAATGAAAAATTGGAATCTGGTCACAGAAAAATGGATTTTTTAATTGTGTCGTATTTATGTAACATAATATCAACAGTGAAGATGAACACATGGAAGCCACGTATATTGACAGGGACAAATCACAAAGTAATGTTAAAAGAAAAAGCAGGTTGCAGGTATTTGTGTAAAAAAGCAAACAAAACATTATACAAAGTTTAAAAGCAGATAAAGTAGTATTAGACATTACTTAGCGATATATGCATGTGAGGAAAAGTGTATCATCAACCCAATACAACCTAATACACTAAGAGGAACAGTGATGCTGGTCCCATGGCTGAGACAATCAGGCCGATTATTCCAGAAGCTCAGCACCAGTTCATTGGTCACATGCTCTGGGAGAGCTAGATATGGAAAACAGAAAGACAGCGGACACAGGGAAAAATAATGACAGCATAAATCCCATGTCATTTCCCAATCTGGGTTTCAAGGCAAGACATTCTCAATGTCTAGATGGTTTCTTCCATCTCCTCTGAGCCAGGGACTCTATTGGCATTCCTTTAACTAATCCAGAGACCACCTATAGACCATAATCCTAAATTCTTCAGAAATTTTCTATGTTTATTTCTATCTTACGTAACAATTTTTTGAAACTTTAAGAACTTGATACCATAATATAGTAAAGAAAAAGAATTTTTCATTTAAACTTACAACTTCTCTGGGAGCCGTCGCTGAGGGAACATGTCCAGGAGCATTCCCTGGCTGTCTAGAAACTTTTGGTTGATTTTTGCCATCCGATCTGAAAGGCACAATTACATTTGAGTTAATTAACACTAAAACATTTCTCCATGATGTATCACACAGACCTTGCAGTTTCCCAAACACAGCATAATGACGTTGGTAGTGGCGGTGATGATGATCATGATGACAGCTAAAAATTTTATGGCATTTTTAACAGCTTTCACACAGTTTTAATCCTTACAGTACTAGACAGTTTTATTAACCCCATTTTACAATTAAA